TAGAAAACCAGGGGTTTCCTACTGAGCGCGTGGAACGCAGGCCCCGGTGATCCGCGCACGCAGCCGCAGCTGCGAGGCCTTTCACTCGTTGCCCTCTCCGGCTTTCGCTGCAGCCTTACTCTTGCCCTTGGCTTTGGGGCGCTTCGGAGCGGCTTTGGGCTGCAGTTCTCCCTTGAGCAGCGCCACTTCCGTCTCAAGGTGAGCAGCGGCGTAGCTTAAGGAGTCCCTGCCCGCCCGCTTCTCCAAGAACGCCGTGGCCTCTTGGACCAGGTCCCCGGCCTTCTTCTTCTTTTCCTCGTCCTTCACCTGCAAGAGCAGCGGGGCCAACGCCGAGACGGTCTTGGAAGCCAGGGCCGCGTCCCTCTTGAAAGCCTTGAGCCTAAGCTTCTCCGCAGCTTTCTTGTTTTTCCTGGTCTCTTTGCTCTCCGGGCCGCCTTCTTCCTCGTCGGAAGAGACCAGCTGCGGCGCGTCCTCCTGCGGTCCCCTCTTTGCCTTCTTGGCACGAAGGTTGACTGTGGTGCCCTCTTTCCTTTTGACTGCTTGCTTTTCTTCCACTTTTTCCGACAGCACCTCCATTTTGTAAACGACTCCGAGCTTCGCGCTCTGAACAAGGGCCGGGTCCCAACCCTGCATCGTCAGCACGGAAAGCGGAAGGAAGCCCCCTCCCAGACTGGAGCTGGAGGAGTTCTCAACCGACATCTCCAGCGCGAGCTGCACTTGGGTGCTGACCTTGTGCAGGCAGAGTTTGCCGTCCTCGTTCGTCATTTTGGAGACTGTGACAATCAAGCGATCGGTGTTGTTAAACTCTATTGACCAGAAGAGCCGGTAACACAAGATGCGACCGCTGACGGGTCCGACTGGCTCAAGGGGCCGAATGATGCAGCTGAGCGAGAAAAAGAGCGCAAGCTGCTGCGAGCCGCTTCCCATTTACTTTCATAGTTGGTAGCGGAGCCCGGTACGCTAGGCCGGGTTCCTTAGATTCCACTGCGCAATGATACCTGGAGAAGCGGCTGCAGCGCAACACCTACACCAGTTGCAGCAGCACTACTTCGGCCCTCCGAACGAGTTTAGCTATGTGACTGATCAAGGCGGATATGACGTTCGATACGGCTACTGGCCTCAGAGGACGCCTGTTCCGCGGGGAAATCAGTCGTGGGGCATGAGTGGATGGTACGGGGGACAGTACCCTCCACCCTTTTCTTCGTACCCCGTCTTTGAAGGGGATCCGGAGCCGCAGGCAGCTCCGGAACAGGCGGCCAGTTCTTCGACGGCCGCGACGCGATCAGCGGCACCCCCAACGAGCTCCCCGGGACGCCTGGGATCTCTACTACCTGATCTTCCCGAAGGCGATGAAGCAGACGATCCTTGGCGCGAGGCAGCGCGACGGCCTCCGGAACTACCCCATCCGACGATGCGTAGCCGGATGGCACCTACAGAGACCGCCGGTTTTCCTGGAGGATTGCAGCAGCCACCTGGGCTCACTATGCCCTGGGGTCCTGTGCCCGGGGCAGCGTGGAACAGCTTTGGGCCCAACTTGGCTCCTCCGATGTGGAATGGGCCGGCGGCGCCGTGGAGTCAGACGGCGCATGGAGGTCCAGACGGCAACGGGCCTCCCGGTGTATGGAAAGGAGAGTTTTCCGACCCTCCGGCATGGCCAGGCTGGCAGTATCGGAGACAGTGGGTGACAGCAGTTCGGAGATGGAATAAAGCCTCCGACATCCCCGTGGGAAGAAGAGCCGAGCGAGTGCTACGGGTTCTTGGATGGGAGATGGCCACGGAGTTCGAGCACCTGTCCGAGAGCCAGTTGGCGGCGCACGACTACCTGGAGCGGATCGTCGGCGTCATCGAGATGAAGGCCGGAGCGCGAGAGGACGATGATCGTCGCGCGTGCTTTAAAGCGGTGCTCCATGACAACGGGAGGCGAAGGGATGAGTCCTTGGGACAGTTCGCCAATCGGCGTCTCAGGGACTTCACTCGCGCCTCCTCCTACGGCATCCAGCTTCCGAATGAGTTCAAGGCAGCGCTGTTAAGAGAAGGAGCCGGGCTGAGCGAGCAGGGACTCCAGAACCTCACCGCGTTGACGCAGGGCCAAGACCATGACATAGACAAGCTGGCACACACGCTGGCCCGCATGGACGTGAGGAGCGATCGCATCTCCGGCTTCGTTCAGAGCGGCGAGCGCGGCACCGAGAGCTCCCTCATGGCGGGCGACTTCTTCGAGGACCAAGATGACGAGAACGAGCCTAACGACGAGGACGACGGCAGCTCCTTAGAGGATGAGGAGGTGCTGTGCGAGCTCTCTGACATGAACTTCACGGAGGAGCAGGCGGCCCTGGTGTTCGCGATCATGGAGAACCGGCCTCCGAGACCGCGAAGGACGTGGAAGGAGAACAAGAAGTTCAAGCAGGACATCCGGAAGGACCGTCGAGGCTTCGTCAAAGGTGATAATGAAGTACGTGGAGCAGCCCCTCGTGCCGCTTCCAGGCCGACCAACCGAGGGGGAATCTCGCGAGAACAGCTCAAGAAGATCTCTCGTTGCAACAACTGCGGCCGCCGAGGACATTGGGCCGAGGACTGCCGCCAGGGAGGAGGCAATCCCCGACCGACAGCGACAGACGGCGGTGACAAAATGAGCGGCTTCTGCTACCTGGGAGGATCCCTCAAGGGTGCCTCGAGCGGCCATGGCTCCCACTTCACCTTCATGACCTACGTGACGTCGCAGAAGGACAATCTGTTTCCGGAGGCGTCCTTCAACTTCTTAGCCATACCAAGCGGTATGGCTATACTCGACATAGGAGCAACCCAAGACTTGATTGGGAGGTCAGCCTACGAGTCGTTGGAAAGGGAGTTGAGTCGTCACGGGCTTCGTGCTCTAGAAGTACCAACTACGGCGTCATCGCCGACCGGCATAGGAGGAGCTGCCCGGGTACTCAAAACTGCCCTTGTTCCGATTTCACCAGGCGGGGCACCGGGCGTCATTCAATTTCTGGTCATCGACGGCGAGGTCCCTCCCCTTCTCAGCGTTGGTTTCCTAGAGCACTTGGGATGTACATTGGATCTCACCACGAATCAGGTGAAGTTCAAGAACATCGATGTCAACATGTGCATGACGAGTCTGCCCAGCGGACATCGAGCAATTCCGCTTGTACAGTGGAAAGGTGGCTCATTTCCAGTGCCTCCGGCAGCGAGGGAACAGTTTGGACTAGGCGAGGATGCATTCGCCAAGGAGTGTGCCGCCTCCTCCGCGTACATGAAACAGGGGTTCGAGGGACTTTGTCATGTTCACGTCGGGTCCACGAGTGTCTTCGAAGTCACAGAGCATGAAGCAGTTCCAGGAGGTCATGTAGTAGCACAAGGTGATGCAGAGTGTGACAGTTCTGCCGAGATCTCGAGAGTTGGTTTGACACCCCGAGTTCATCCCAGCCCTGTTCGAGAAGGATTCATGTCGTCTTCGGTGCCTTCAGGCTCAATTGTCCTCATGGGCAACTGTTCTACGCGACGTAGATCCCAATTCGAATCCCCAGCCGCTGGCGACAATGGACCACCCATCTCGAGCGATGGAGCCAGCTGCGGGAGAGAGGTGCGACCGGGTGACGCGAATGTGGCGCGCCATCGTACTGAGGATGTTCTACACTCTAGAGTCAATCCGAGCGGGATACTCCCGACTGGCGGCGGCGGAGACCCACCAGAAAAGCATCCTGTCCGAGCGCAAGAAGTTCCTCACGGCGGACGCTCAGGAGCCGATGAAGTGTCTGCACTCGGGCTCTCCCATACGGAGGGCAAATCAGTACGCTTCCTGGACGGTGTGTCCGAAGTGTTCGGCGAGGTTATCGTACCAGCCCCACCGAGTCCAGCCGAAGGGGAAAGCCAAGGCGAGAGGCCGAGCACTCAGTTCACAAGGAGCCATGGCATCAAGTTCGGCGTATCCGGCAGCTACTACCACGACATCCACCCGTCGGACCACTCCGAGGCCGCCCGAGGAGACCATCCCAGCCGAGCTGGGCGCGACGCTTCAGGCCATGGCAGTGAGCTTCCGCGAGGTGGGACAATCCCTAAGGGAGTTAGCTCTGGGGCAAGGACAGATGCTAACAATGATGCAGCGGTACGAGACCCCCCGAACTTCGACAACATGTCCCTGGAGCAGATCTCGGAGCTCGCCGAAAGGAACGCGGACATCGCGATGGAGGCTGCAGACGACGAGACACCGTCCAGCTGGGAGCGCATGAGCAATCCCAACACCACCGACCTTCCGTGAGGTACTGGCCCCGATGGATGACGGTGCCGGTGATTTCGCTGAGCTCCACTCTCGTCTCCTGGACGCAGCTGCAGGAAGGTTGGCAAACCAAGATGCTGGCCTGTGGAGGAGATCAGGAGTGCTGGATGATTCACCACTCTCTTCCGACAGCCCCCGGAGTGCCACGACGAGCGAATTCTGAGTGCCCTTCCTGGTTGCGGACACCATGGACAATGGAAATATCCGGGCGGCTCCCGGATGAGTACGAGGTGAAATGGCATGAGCTGCGGCGAGGGCGAGAAGTACTTCAACGAGGTGCAGGAGATCTTCCCGACGAGGCGGATGCCGAGCTGAATGACGAGACCGAGGTCATCAGGTGGGGCGTGCCCCGCCGAATGGGCACCGTCCTCGCTGCACTCGATGTCAGTCTGAATCCTCGCGGCTTTGACGAGGAAGGTCACGAGTCAACCACCGGGCCCTACTGGCTTGTTCGAGCGCCCGGTCTTCGCGATATCATCGAGGACCAGGACGAGGTTGCGGCAGCGAGCCGCAAGGAGGACAAGATGGCCGAGTCCTCTCTTCTGAGTATGACACGACAGCAGCGACGAGAGTCGTTGGCCTCGGCGGTGGACTATGTCGAGGTCTTCCATGCTACACCGAGTTTGGCAGCGGCAACTCAGGAAGGTCTGAGAGTACCAGCCGCTCGTCGAGGACAAGAGTCACCGGCAGCGCTTCCGCAAGTACTTGAAGAGCCAGCGCCCCATAACCGTCGCTCTCAACCTTCTCTCGGGGTTCAAGACGGGAGCTACCGAAACCACAAGCACAACTCTGAGATCGAAGACCAGCACTTCGGAGGCTTCTGCGGCAACCGGTGCCGGCTCCGTGGTTAGTGACGGAAGTACCGAAACCGCAAGCACAACGAGATCGAAGACGAGCACTTCGGAGGGGTCATCTATGGACAATGCCAGGAGTCAGTTGGCGGTCGGTTTTGCTTTAGAGATCGTTCAGGAGCAGGTCAGTCATCATCGCGTCTTCTACATGCAGGCAGCGAGTGACTCATACCTCTGGACGTGTAGTAAGTGGAATGATCTGATGCTCGGATCGGACATTGTCATCGTCACCGACTTTCATTCAGGAATCCGTGAGGCAACAAATTCCCAATGGTCACAGCCACTACCACCTCGTCCACTCGAGGCTGAGCGTTCCAGTGCTTCATGGTTCCTGGGCGACGAGTGGGAAAATATGAGCGAAGGGGAGAAGTTCGCGTACCACCTGCGCCAGCGAGGAGACTTCTCTTTTCCCTCGTGTCTGAAACTACTGAGGCTCACCGACTGGCCAAGGCAGAGAGTCAGAAGGGGCAGCATCCGAGATCCTAGCGACTACCAAGTGCTTGGCCAATACACCTACGGCAAGTTCGCTGGCATGACGCTCGGGACCTACAAGCTTCGTCACACCACCCAGTACTTGAATGACTTCATGACCAGGCATGGCGCGGACGGACCCAGATCCTCTATCTCGGTTACGAGAAACGCTACGGTACGTCCCCATCGTGATCTTCACAACCTTGGCGACAACTACACCATTGCAATTGGTCCATTCAAAGGTGGAGAGCTGTGGTTGGCTGACGAGGCAGGACAAGTACCCAAGGAAGTTCGGCCAGGTGTGCGGCTGCCCGGAAACGTTCTCAAGCATCGCGAGCGCATGAATGTCTTTGATCCCAAGCGGTACCACTCTGTGAACGACTGGGAAGGGGAAAGATGGTCGATCACTGCCTTCCAAACCAGGTCCAGTGCCCAGCTCAGCATCGATCAAGCCAAGTATCTCGAGAGCTACGGGTTCAGTCTACAAGGATATCGAGGCTCACCACTACGGCCTCAAGGACAAGTTGATGCCCTGTGCTGTCTCGCCACGATGGAAGCTGTGGGAGTAGCCAAGCTGACCTCCTACCCGGCGAGCACCTCGGCGGACGCCATCGCGCAGGAGCCAGAGGAGCAATCAAGGGAACCGGAGGACGAGGTCAAGGAGCCCGCAAAAGATGGTGAACAAAGTTCACATCAATACCGGACACCCGCCGAAGGACAGGTTCTTGAAGACCATGAGAGCAGCTGGTGCACTTCCGCAAGTACTACGATACATTCGAGACGAATACACCTGCGAAATCTGCGCCGCCAAGCGAGGACCAGATCATCATCGCAGAGCACAATGCCCCCGAGTACACGGTTTCAATCGCGTGCTGAGCATCGACGTGTTCTACATACCTTTCCGGGGAGAGAGCGTTCCAATCCTCAATGTAGTCGACCACGGCACGAACTTCCAGATGGCACAAAGGATCGTGGGCTCGGGAGCACGCACTCCGAGTGCCGCGGCGACTTGGAAAGCCTTCTGCACCACCTGGGTCAGATTCATGGGTCCTCCCAGTCTCATCATCACGGATGGAGGCAAGGAGTTCCAGCAGCGCTTCGAACGCGGAATTGAGCAAATGGGAACGCTGCACCACATCACGGCTCCGGAATCGCCGTGGCAAAACAGTCGTGCGGAAAGGCACGGAGGCTGGCTCAAACAGCGATTGACCCAAGAATTAGACTCAGGTCGCGGTATCGCGGAGAACCTCGACGACGTCGATGAACTCATCTCTGCGGTGGTCTCAGCGAAAAACAGGTGGTACAATGCCGGTGGCTACACACCGGTGCAACTAGTATTCGGGGAAATGCCCCGGATACCAGGAGACTTGTTGAGCCAAGACAACCTGGGGCAGTTGACGAGGCTGGGGCAGAGTTTCGCAAAAGTGCAGCTATACGGGAGAGAGCAAGGCAGCTCGCTATGGCTGAAACCAGCCGTGAAGCGATCAAAAGAGCTGTGGCTACTTCGACTACTCCGTTGAGGACTTGGTCTCCTGGGCAGTGGGTGTACTGCTTCCGCCGGGGAAAAACGGGTGACAACCTGCACCCTACCTCTCGGTGGGTTGGACCGGGGCTCGTGGTTCTGCAAAGCCGATCAGTGGTGTACGTGGCCATGCGAAGTCGTCTGTGGCGATGTGCGCCAGAACAGCTGCGTCCCGCTTTTCCGTCAGAAGTTTTGGGACGACAGCTGGCTACCGAGCCACAAATGGCCGAGTTGCTGAGGAAGGTGATCTCCGGCAACAACGCGGGGGCGGTGGACGTCGCTCGAGAAGGGCCACCCGCCGAGGACCAACAATACGCCCCAGTGGATGTCGAGGCCAGTGGAGAGCACCGTCCTCTTGAGAGCCCAGGCGAGGGCGCACCGTCTTCAGGACTACCTCAACCACTTCAAGCTCCCCAAGAAGTTCCGGCAGTCCCAGAAGGCATCCTTCCTCGAAACGACCAGGTCATAGAGACTCCTCCCGGTCTCGAGGAGATTGTGACTCAACCCCGACGAGCTACCCCTACTATCTCCAGGAGGTCTTCCGTGCAAGAGCCCGCCCAGGAGCCAGAGGTTGCGGTCGCCGGGGAGATTGAGTCCGGAGGTAATCAAGCCGTCCCGAACGACGCGAACGCACAGGAGCCGGAGGCCAAACATCGGAGAACGACGAGTCGAGAGGCATCTCCAAGCGGACGAGCTCCTGGTACTCCTATCCAGCGACTACTACAAGCAGTGGACCGAGGGAGGCCGGCTCGCTCCACGAGCCAAAGCGTGACAGACACAAACGCCACGAGACACTCCCGATCCAGATCACCCGAGCGCGGGGCATCCTCACGAGAAGGGGATCTCAACCTATGGACTCTGGAGCAGGACGGCGATTGGACTCTGGTGGCGAGCAGGAGCGACGAGGTGGACATCCGCAAGATGTCCAAGGAGGAGCGAGATCTCTTCGATGCTAGCGACAAGGTTGAGTGGAAGGCCATTCTGGACACGAAAGCTGTCCGCGTTGCCACAGGTGCTGAGGCTGAGAAGATTCGTCGAGAATACCCCGACAGGATCCTGGATTCCAGAATGGTCCGGAGGAGAAAGCCTCAGCCGGGAGTCGGAAAGTGGAAAGCGAAGTCACGCTGGTGTATCGCCGGCCACAAGGATCCAGACACTGCCTCCCTACAAACGTTCAGCCCGACGCCAGCTACGGAGAGCATCCTCGCCTTCTTGCAGACGGGGATCAACCTGGGTCATCGTTTCTCCTTCTCAGACGTTCGCAACGCGTTTTGCCAGTCCAACAAGCTCAGACGACCAGCCGGGCCCATCTTCGCCAGGCCTTGCGAGGGTTTAGGGCTGGGATCGCTGGACGTCATCGTCATTGAGGTTCCAGTCTACGGATTGGATGACGCTCCGGCGGCATGGCGGGCAACAGTGACTGGATTTCTACGGGAGCAAGGATTCCAGAGGAACGTCATAGAGCCTTGCTGGTGGATGAGGTTCAATGAGGACGGCAAGAACGAGGCCCAGGTGCTCATCGAGGTCGACGACTTCATCATCAGCGCGATGGACAAGATCAAGGCCAAGATCCGAAAGATGTTCGAGCAGCGTTTCACTTTCGGCAAATGGGAGGACGACGAGGCAGAGTACGCCGGCCGGCAGATCCGAGTGTTAGGCGACCGCATCCTGGTAGACCAGCAGAAGTATATCACCGAGCAGATACAACCAGTCATGCTCAACAAAGGACGGCGCTCGGAGAAGGAGTCACCCTTGACCGACGAGGAGTTCGCCGCATTCAGGTCGGCGATCTACAAGGTCAACTGGGTCGCCAAGGAGAGCAGACCGGAGGTGGCAGGAATGGCATCCATACTGGCAAGCAAGCTGAAGAACGCTACGATTGAGGACGTGCTCACCCTCAACAAGAACGTGAACTACTTGCGGAACACCGCCTCTCGCCCCATGACGATCTGGAAGATGTCTCCACGGGAGATGTCATTCGTGGTGATCTCTGATGCTGGAGGGATTGGAGCCAAGCACGACACCGTAGATGAGATCGGGCTTCCAGCTGACAGCACGCAGGGGGCATGGCTGGTGTTCGCTGCGGAGACGCTGCCGGTTGGAGATGCTAAAGTCAAAGCAACGCCACTTTCCTGGCGGAGCAGCAAGCTGAAGCGGAAGGTCTTCTCCACGTTCGGCGGGGAAACTCAAGCGATGCTGCAAGGCATCGCTGAAGCGGATTGGTTGCAGGTGATGATTCGCGACGCTGTCTACCACGACATCGAGCTCAACGAATGGAGGAACTGCCTGAGTCCCCACATGCTAGTGATGAAGGGAGACTACAAAGCACCTCACCGTCAGCCCCAGTGTTCAGTTGCGGATGCCAAAAGTCTGTACGACTGCGTGTTGAAGGAGCACCCCCAGGGAAGACAAGATCGCAGAAGCTCCTTGGAACTCGCGATCATAGTTCGGGATCTGCAAGAGACTCGCTCTATGGTGAGATGGGTTCCCCACCAGAAGATGGTGGCCGACGCGCTGACGAAGTCAGATCCGATGAAAGCCAACGGGGCCCTGGACCAGTTCCTGAGAAGTGGTCGACTGAGCCTGGTTGATGTAGAGTGTGAGCTGAAGCATCGGGCTGAAGACCCGAACTTCAGGTCCAGGAGCCATGCGGCTTCAGTAGCTCGTCTTTCAAGAGAATACGAGGAGCAGGGCTTTAGCTTCTGGTCAACCTTAATTTGGGGGGACTGTGACAATCAAGCGATCGGTGTTGTTAAACTCTATTGACCAGAAGAGCCGGTAAGACAAGATGCGACCGCTGACGGGTCCGACTGGCTCAAGGGGCCGAATGATGCAGCTGAGCGAGAAAAAGAGCGCAAGCTGCTGCGAGCCGCTTCCCATTTACTTTCATAAGACGCTGTTGTAAAACTCACACAGCTGGTGGCTGTTGAGCTGGCGGAAGTTGTCTGGCAAGTCCAACCTACAAAGGAAAGTAGACAATTTATTACAATTGCCACACAAGTACCGGTTTGCACTCTTCTTGTAGAGCTCGTCCTGTGCAAACCGTTTCTGGCACTTGCTACAGTCCTTGTGCACAAGCACCAAGGTTTCCGGCGGAGGAGCTTCAGCGGCGCCAGTGCTCAGCGTCTGCTGACCACAGGACAGGGAGATGTTAGGCCGAGATATGTAGGAGGCTAGCACGCAGGGAGGAGTCCTCGGTGCTGGGGTCTGCAAGGGCCATGCTTCTAGCACGACCTCTACGGAGACAAGGGCGAGGCTACAAAAGGACGGGCTTGCGGCACCTGATTTGAGCCCCGGCGGGACGTAGTGCGGCGTAGTGTGCGGTAGTGCCTTTGCCTGGGCCAGGGACTGGAGGAGTGTAGTGCCTGAGGCTCTCTAGGAACTGGAGCACACTACAACCGGGCCGGGGGCGTAGTGCGGCGTAGTGTGGTGTAGTGCCTGCGTTCCGTGGACCAGCCTGGTGCCCTGAGGCAGCGTTTTTTTGCTAAGCGAAGGCAGCAGGGTGAGCAGCGTCTGCTGCAGGAACTTTGCCGGCTTCCTGCCGGCTGCATGCAGCTGTACTAGGAGGTGTCATTCAACTCGGACTGTCACCTGCTGCGTGTCAGGCTGCACATCCTATACGTGTTTTAAAGCCTGCTTTAAGGCAGACCGTTAAGGAGTCGGGCTCTGTGCAGCTCAGGACAGGAAGCCTATATATACATCAGCTTGGAATTAAAGATGCGTCCAGGGTCTCCCCTGAATTCCTTGTTGCTTCCTGGCAAGGAGGATGCATTTCATGCAAGCTAAAAAACACGGGTACTAAAAAACTACGTGCAGCGGTCTCGCTGTTCAGTGCTTCCTCGCTTTCTGCAGGAACTTCGCGCGGCCCTCGAGGAGGGACTGCTTCAAGTCGCGGAACTGAGGGAGCTGCTGCTTCAAGCCTTGCTTGTGCAGCTTGCCAATCCAGCGAGCATGGTCCCTGTTCATCTTCTCCTCCACGCAGACCAGGAGTCGTTTCTTGCCGCCAGTGACTGCCAGAAGGTAGCTCTTGGTGGCTGCATAGACCA